TTCTTGTGGTGTTCTGAGTAGACTGCATTTTGACGAGTTCAAATTTGAGAAAAAATGTATGTAGTTTTAATGATGGACCGTTTCGTGGCGAAAGGTTTTTATGTTATAGTGAGTAGGGCTTCCCACAAGACGGGACAAGGCAAGATTCTCCGTCTTGTATCGTCTTGTGACCAACTACGGGACGAAATTTCAAGACAAGACGAGACGACAAGCTGTCCCGTCTTGTCTTGCGTCCCGTCTTGCCCGTCCCGTGCAAGACGGGACAACACGGGACGTACATATGTACATGTTTTAAATGGGTTGAATTTTAAATCTCTTCGCAAAATTTAAATTCGCTTCAGGAAACATGGTGCAAATTGTTTTTACTAACTACAGGATAATTTAACCAAGGTTTCCGCTTGTAAAAATCACATTACACAGGGGAATCGAAAAAGTAGGAACAGGACCTTTACCATCCTTAACACACGCGGGAAGTAACGAAAACGGTCAAAAAGTGGGGAAACCTCTATTTTGGTTTAATTGGAAACTGCTTATTTAGAAATTCATGTCCTCAAGACTTGAGTTCATATTCATGTTCGAATTTTATACTAAATTCTAAATTGTGAATTCTGTTGCAATGATGAGATAAAACTATCCGAAAAATATTCGATGCATGTAATTTCAATTGGTTTTCCGTTTTAAAGGAACAACAATTTCATTAAAGTTATATTCGATTGAATAAATATCATCGTTGCGCCAACTTTTAAATTCAGTATTGATATTCTGAGACGAAAGTATCTTATTAAAATGGTCGCAAGACGTCCCGTCTTGCCGAGACAAGACGGGACAAGACGTTGTTTGATCCGTCCCGTGTCCCGTCTTGCTTGCCAAAACGCGAGACGTAAATTTCCGTCTTGTCCCGTCTTGTTATCCCGTCTTGCCAAGACGAGACAAAACTGTCCCGTCTTGTGGGAAGCCCTAATAGTGAGGAATGGAGGATCCCTGAGGGTTAAATAGTCTGGGAAAATTGGGTTTAACCTTGCCCATCCAGATATTTAGACAGGGTTCCGTGTATTCCATTAAAAACCCATATTTTTCCACTGCAGGTGCATAGTAAAAAATGGGAAAACCTTAAGAAAATGGTTTTCACCTTTCAAAATGGGAAAAGATGTATGGCGACGCAAGTATTAAGTTGTTTGAATAGTTATGCTAACTTCTTTAAAAATCAATATTTTCCGAATTGGACTTCAAATTCGTCATGTCCAGAAATTTATGAAAATTTTTATATTTATTTATGCAATACTGACATTTCTTGATTGTTTTTCCAATTTTGTCATTTATCAATTTTGAACCTTGCCCGAAATAAAATGAATTATTAACAACTTATTTTTTAAGAATTTGAGGATTAATACGAATAAGAAGAGATATGTTAAATATGATAAGTGCTAAAAAACTTCCTCATTTTTTCCCAAGAAATTTCCCCATTTTTTTCATTTCCCACCATTTTAGGTGGGCGGTAAAAGTGTGCTTCTCCCAGTTTAAGTACCAGCTGCCCTTGTCAATTTAGTTTTAACCGGGCGAAACCATACTTCGCACCAGGGTAGTTATCTACTCAATTAATGGGATAAGTGTGTTATGCACACGTGTAAAGATATCAGACACGTGGAATGATTTCAAGTACATTTCCTGCTTCTCCGTCGTATGTACATAGATTGCGGATGACTTGTAAATGCGCAGTTGCTCGTATACGTATGTATTTTTGTATGAATTTATAAACCAGAAATTTTACTAACTAACTAGTGCAAAAAAATGAATGTTTAAGAATTTTTTCATTCCTGGGGGAGCAATGGGACAAGTTTAAAATCAATGTAAAATTTAGCCTTTTTCTATTTTACGACCAAACTCGTAAATTAATGAGCTATCTGCGCACGCGCAGCGTCCATCGATGCATTGCAGCCCTTCAAAAATGTTGCACTCGCCGTGCTCCAAAATGTTACAGTAGGTCCCAAAACCATAGCGGCATTCACCCGTCGGTGTGCTGAGCTGGCCTGCATTGGTTTTTCAAAATTATGATTACATAGATAAAGAAAACACACTCTAAATAATTTGGTGACAAATTATCACCCGTGGAGGTACGTATCTATTTTTGGGTAACGATTAAGCACAAATTTTATCACCAACGGGTAAATTTTTTCGGGAAAAAATTTTATCGAATAAGTATGAAGGTTATTAAAATATTAAAACTCTAATGTCAGAAAATCTTTTATAGAAATGTATATTTTTGTTAAATAACGACGTCACCTGTGTTTGGTACACGAATTTTTGACTTATTTCATGCTCGTGTACCTCCGCGGGTGACGATATTTTTTCCAAATTATTTAGAGTGCAAATACTTAAATGTGAATGAAAAATACAAGTTCTTTCAAGGGATTTTTTTTTGCGAAAACTGCAGGCAGAGCCACCTGTATCTAAATATTTATACACACTCTAAATAAAAATAAGTAAAATTTGTTTAAGGTTGAGTAAAAGAGTGACACAACCAAAAGGTAAAATTTATTCAAGCGTTGTCCAAAATGTGGTCAAAGTTGTGTTTGTAAAATTTGGCCAACAAATTTTGCACAATTTTGTACAGATTTTACCTAGTAGATTGAGTCATCCTTTTTATTACTCAACCTTGAGTCAATTTTACTTCTTTTTATTTAGAGTGTATATAAATACATACCTGGGTGACACATGCATTTCCGCGTGAGTGTATCGCAATACGAGCCTTGGACGCAATCCATGTCTGTGAAACATGTCCCGGAAACGATGGTCTGGCAGGACCTTAGATTATGATCTTTTCTCTTGTAAATCGCATCCCGGCATTCGCACCTGGACCTCGAGCAGAAAAAGGTGGGTGGACAAGGTCGCGTATAAGAGCAGTAGTCCCACATCAGTACGGTCGTCATGGTGGGCTCATCTGTCGGTTCGGTCGAATAGTTGGAGGTTGTTTGCGCAGACGCGAAAAAAATGTGGGGACCGAACGTGATCAGAGGGAGGAAGAAGATGATAGGATTTTTTAGTGTGGCCAGCATTTTTGCCTGTAATGTGAGTAATTTGGGATAATTGTCAGACAGTCAGGTATTGGTTTCTCGGTTTTAAAATTGGTACCGCTTTGTATTAAAATTATATCGATCCGTAAAAATTTTGTACTGATAAGGTAAAACTTTTATAGCGAGATATTGCTAAATAGATCCGGTATTATTTGTCAATCCCACTTTGGTAATGAGTATCGCCTGGTGTTATTTTAATACCGGATTTCTTAGAGTGTGTTCTTAAAAATAATTGTGCAATTACTAATTATTAATTGCTTCGTGGGCGAGTCGTGATTGCGAAGTGGAATGAAAAATTTAGGGTCCTCCGGGGATCTTAAATAGGTTCGATTAAACCGGAAAATTGGGCTTAATCTGATTCATAAATGTGGACAGGATGGCACCAGATCAGTCATCTGTGTAACCCGATTAAGCCGGGATTTGGCTCCACGTGTAGAGATATCAAACACGTGGAGCCAGTTTACACAATCCGATCCGATTAGTCCAACAGTTGAATGAAGCAGCGTATACTGTCTGATTTTGAAAAAATCAATGTCAATCAATCTCAGATTGGATTAGCATAAACCATGACAAATTTAGCACTTTCAAAATTTTAATGAGCACTTTCTCCTCTGCGAATGCAAATATATTTCTCTGGCCATTTAGGCATCTTGCCTTATGCAAATTTCATACTGAATAAATTTGTAATCAAGATAGACACTAATTTGGCCAAAATAAGAGAGTATACGCTGGGAGACCTTCATTTTGAGTACATATGCAAATGACAAATACATAAATTCCTGTCACACATTGCACATTTATTTACTCGGAATGAATGAGGTAACGGAATTTGAACAGGGTAAAAGTATGAAAATTGGTTAAAATATTGCAAAATTTTATGGATGTGTGTGTACATATGTATTTCTATACACTCTTAAAAACAATGCTACCTTTTAAAAATGTGAATGTACATATGCTCAATGCTGCATATATTACCTACACACGCGCGTGGACTGTGCTAAGACTAGAGTTTTACATATGCTCATGCATACTTTAACTTGATAAGTAACAAATGATTAGTTTGTTCTGGACCTAAGATAGTTTATTTAATATAGAATTCAGAGTGCATTTTCTTTTCTAAACGGTACCTTCATTTTTAAGAGTGTTCATATGTGTACCATTTCCTGCCTCTTTATTTCGGGATGGCACAGTAGTTGTTCAGACAAGTGACTTTTCAGACAACTTCGTGAAGGAAATGTGTGACACATAATAGTACCTGTATGTATGTATGTACACTCTTAATAATCCGGTAAAATAACGGAGGTAATGATTTCTCGGTAATAAATTTGGTAATAATATTTTACCAGGTAGTAAAAATTCGCTACCAAAATTTGCTACAAATCGCTTGGTAAAACTTTATTACCAAGCTATTACCACACGGTACAACTATATCATTACCACTTTGGTAGAGTCACATACTTGTGCTTTTTGGTAATGTTTATTACCAGATTATTTACAGTGCATGTACATACATACGTACATATAATAAATATGTGTAGGGGAACGTGCATTGTGCCCGTTGACAAAGCATACTTAAATCATTATTATGCTCCGGAAAAGTACGGATAATCGTATTCTTTACTGATGTCTAGGCAAGACAGACATGTAACATTTACGCAAATTTGTGCACATTCCTTATGCACGTCGCCACCCTGATTTGATTGAATAATGGGACCATCTTTACGTGCACTTTGGCCGTAATTTTGTACATAGCTAATTATCGCAACATAATTATATAAATAAGTTGCCACACGCGAGTGGGCACACCTCATCAGGGAACAATGTCCAGCTCTGGTTATTCCGTTGTTTACCTTATCTTTGCTTTGGTTGATAAGCGATCAATCAATCGTGGGTCGGGTGATGAGTGATCAAGTGGTTTATTTTGCAAATGTGAGGGTCGAAACATGACGCAAGACTTTGTCACGATTTGGGATAAATAAATAGTGAGAGTCGCATATGTACATTGTGTTCAGTTTGCTTGATTCTCTCCAAGTTTAACTTGTAAATAATTAAAATTTGAAGAAATATTTTAAAAATGAAATACGCCACGATTTTTTTGACCGTTTTTCTCTTGGGGGTCAGTTGTTGCGTTGGAGAGGAAGGACTTTTCGAAAGTTTGGGACAAATCGGAAATAAAACGTTTTTCAAGTCGGCGACTACGGTTAAATTTTGAAAATTTGAAATTTTAATCGGAGCGATGATTAAAGGGTTAAAAATAATAATGTTGTGATTTGGCACAGGAGTCGATTTGGGGGGCATCGTCGGGATGCAGGGCGGAGGGAATGGAGATGGCGTCGATTGAGACTGCAGAGGAAAATAACTTTCTACTATCACACTCCAGCATTGGATTGTTCGTTAGTAAGTTATAAATACATATTTACTAAAAAATGAAAATATTTTAATTTTGTGATATTTTTAACAAGTCCGATTTTTTAAAATTCGGTCATATCCGTAAACCTGGATTATGTCGATCTTCAAAATCTGGGCCAACTTTTTTCGATTACTAATCGAAACATACATAAGTAAAAAAAGTAATTGATGATTACTTTTTTACATTCGGAAAATAATAGAATTTTGAATTTGAAATAACTTATTTGGAAAAGCTTTTTAATGAGACGATGAATAATCACGATTTTTAATTATGATAAGTATGGAGATTTAATTAACTGATTTTTAAAAATATCAGGTTACTGGACTTCCGCTATCGTGATTAACACGGGTGAAGATATGAAATGGCACTACAGCGGGACTCCGGTGGATTTAAGCTTCATGGAAATCCCGGGAAGTTACATCACAGCTGGTGTGATTTTTAATCGGCTAAATCGTAACTGGAGACTGATCACGATTCACAGCGGGATTGGTGAGACAAGACATCCTTATTTGTGCGAAGCGGTTGTTGGGCGGGAAAGCGGGGCGGGAGAGAGGAAATTGAAAGAAACTTCGCCATCTAGACCAGCTGGTCCAATAATTATGGAATCTGAGAATTCGGGCGTACTTGATGTCCAACTTTTGGGGCAAGTTGGGAACAAAGAGTATCACGTGGATTTGACTTCACAGGTAATCATGTAAATTTGTCGGGTGGAAACATATGTTCAAAATTTTGACAAAAACAATTAGAAATTTTTATTTCAAAAAATGAAATTGACTCCACAGCTGACCTGGAATGAGTCCCGCCACACTTGTGAAGGGCTTGGGATGCAACTCGCCGAGATTGTGACCGTTGACGAGAGCAATTTCCTTAAGACCCATGTCCTCCTGGAACAATGGCATCGTAAGCAAATTTTCAAAATTTTGGGCCAAACTAGGCACAATCTTAAAAATAATGTTGCGAAATCCAAAATTCATTTGGAGTGGGATAAGTTCATTCGAAGAATTCAAAATTCATTTAGATTTGGAATAGTTCACTGAATAAACCCGAAATTCATTTAGATTTGGATAAGTTCATATGGATATGGATAAGCTAATTTGACAAATACAAAATTTGTGTTAACTTAACAAAATTTTTATTTGTTAGGATTTTGGGTGGCTGCACGCGTCTTCACGTATCCGACCGACTTGACCTGGGGGAATGGACAGCCGATCGACTACACTTTGGGGCAAATGGACCCCACCGACCTATATTTTAGAAATGCGCTGACCTTCGTCGGTGTCGAGGGGGACGGCTATTTTGAACCGGAATCCACTCGAAGGCCCTTCCTCTGTCAGAAAATAGTGGGAAGGGACCAATAAAAATTTGGAAATTTTTCTAGAAAAGGGTTACTTCCATTATAAAGAAGTAACTTCCATAATATCCATATTTATGGAAATTTGTCTCAAAATTTTGAACCAGGTAGATATGTAAGAAATTGTTACAAAATAAAGGAATATTTGAATCTTAGCACATGCTAAATACAAACAGAGTCTGAACTTTATTTTAGGAAATTTTGATCATTGTAAAATATAATTCGTAATTGTTCTGACAATCATGCACTCATGCACTCCTAGAAATCCAGTATTAAAATACTCCCAAGTTGTATCCATAAAGATACATATTACTCCACCAAAGTGGGATTGAAAAGCAATATCGAGTAGTAAAAAATGCATGTGTACCTCTGTATTATCGTTTTACCATACTGGTAGCAAATATTTTTATAAAATGGTGACAAATTTCCTCCAGGTCCAACAGACGTTTCAAATTGTAGTATATGTACATATTTTATTGGGTAGGACTAATGAAAATAGGACACATACATATTCTGAATTATTTAAATGTTTAACACGACCCAATTATTATTTTTTTGTAAATAATTAGGACAAATTTGGTGCAAATCTGTATTTCCATAATGACGTGTCAAATTATGTTCCAGGTTGCACAATCTATCAGTTTAGCATTGCAAGGCAAACTACCGTTTATTTTTAGGAGTGCAGGCATTAAAATTGCCAACCGCCTTATGTTAAAGTTCTGCCAAGACGTTTGCTACACACACTTTTTTATAAATCTTTAATACCGAACTCCTATTTACCATATTTACCATAGGATGTTAAAAGTATCTACTTTTGTATCAATACAAGTTTAGTTGGTGCACAGGGTGGTTTAAATGTAAATGTCACGCTACAATGGAAAATTATGCAAAGGGGAAAATCCATAAATTTCCAATAGGATTTGAGATTGAGATTTTTGTTGATTATTAAACTCTAATATTAAAATTGATGACAAAATTCTCAAAATGTTGAATTTCAAAGCAAAATCTAGGCAACTAATAGAAATTTACGAATCTTTCTCATTGGGAAAAAATTTCATTGTAGCGTGACATTTAAACCACCCGTGTACATACTCAAGTATTAATCGTGGGATTATTTTAATACGGTGTTTTTCACAGTACAATTACTCATTTACTCGGTAAATTGAACTCAAGAATGTCGTTCATTGCACGTTATACTTACATAGGATTAATCAGAGCATACATACATATTTAGTGGCTGCTGGACGGGAAAAAGTGCCCCATGAAAACCCACTTCCAAATAATTTGGCACAATTTGAGAGAACAGTGGCCGCGGACATAACCATTACAGGATGGGGGAGAGAGAAGGGTTTATGTATTTATATAACATGTGGAGATGATGTGGACATTGTCCTACCCTTCCATGGTCTCTGGTTCACAGCGATCTGCATGAAATCCAGTCTACTTTGGATACATGCACTGTCCATGAGCACAAACTCTGTCCATGGAAGACAAACAGGTTCCGAAATCATACCACTCTCACTGAGGAATTAGTGAATGAAAATAAATTTTATGCCGAGTACACATACTTACTTAACAAAACCCTTGACTTGACTGTAGATATGGCATGAGTAATCACACCCGTAAAAAGACGGCATTGAAATAATACTAGCCATTCATACATACATACATATATTGATGACTACTCTACCAAAATATTTCGTAAATACTGATACATAAGTATTACAATGTTACCATACCTTTGTAAATATGTGGGTCGCTCTATTCTGCACAATGGTATATTTTTTTTATCGAGGAATCAATAACTCCGTGATTTCTTAGAGTGTATTTCTGTATGTATCAATTCCTGGAAAAACTTGACTCACATCCTGCAGGAATGTAGTTGGTAAATTAATCCTTAAATTTAGTCATGAGATTTGGTCAGATGAGATTTAGTCGAGTCCTGATCACGACGTGACTTGATATTTAACCTAAACTTGAAATTTAATTAGTAAATTGATCGTGACTTGTTGGCAAGAAATATTTTAAACGACTAAATAATATTTTTCTAGTCAGAAAAGTATTTTATACCTATTTCCTTACTTAATAAATAAGAAATTAAGAAATAATGCGGGTAATAACAAAACTGCTAATTTGTCTCGGGTTGGTGGAAACGTTACTATTTTGCTCAGTTGCGACTGGAATTGAGGTAATGAAATCAATATTTGTCAAGATCTTAAAATTTAATTGACAACTAATCAGGAAAATTATCAGTCAAATGTTGCGGTGGAAATTTTGATTTTTTATACATTTTTTTTAATACGAAAAAGTGCGTTCAGATTATAATTTCTGGAGGGCCCCTACATAAATAAATATTTAGTGATTGACAGAAAGTTTGGCGAATTAGGGTTTAACGAAAATATAATTAGGCCAAACGGTAAAAAAATTATTATTAGCGTGCCGGATGAAAAAATTGTAGTAAAATTTGTCGAAAATGACGGAATATAAATAATCTCTTTTGTTAAAAATACTGAAGAATGATTAAGTGTTAAGTACTTTTGTCAAATGGTATTTTTTGAGATTGTTTTCTTTTTACAAAAATGGTTTTGGAAAAACTGTTGATTTTGTAGTACCTGAAATGATCGTGCAAAAAATTCGACGGACCGAAGACCAAGTTTTGAGTTCTGATTCTCCGCAATTTAACACATCGAAGGCTTAAGAATTTGAATTACATGGAGAACAATTTTCCTGATTTACAACCTTTCACACATATATCGACATGCCATAATTTTATTCGATTTCATAATTTCATTTTAATTATATTTTACTTTCTTCAGGATTCCCCATCATCCCAAGCTCAAATAGCCAACAATATCGCTACCCAAATGCTAGATGACGTATTTGAGGCCCGTCACAAACCCGCGATAGACGCCTTGACCTCCTTTGACAGGACTAAATTGGAGGACTTGCGAGACAATCTGATCAATACACAAGCCGAAAAAGTGTCTGCCATCCAAACGAAGCACGATGAAATTAAAGCCATAGGAAAAGAGCCGGGCACGAAAATAGTCAAAGATTTAGATGTGGCGAACAATGTTTTAAAAAACCTTAATAGCTTAACAGTTGACGCTTATTGTTAAAAGCTGTATGTATGAATTTTTATGTAAAAAGTTAAGGAGACAAAGTGTCTCAAATTCCCAGAGTTGAAAGGAGCGGTGTGATTGGATTGGAGGTTATTCTTTATTCTTTTTAGTGTGTTAAGTATATGGAGAGCACGCCGTTCTTTTTACTTACTTAAGCAGACACGCAGTAGTGAAGGTGTGGAATTTTAAGTCGTGAAAGTAGTTATTTTTGGGTTGACAATTAGCCAGTAAAATTGTTTAATAAAGTAGTAGTTTGTTTGTCATTTAACAATACGACCTCTGAAAGTGTATTATTTCCATCAACGAATAATAATACGTTATATTTCACATTAGAAAGGGCTCTTATTAACTTCAACCGAGACACATTAAGTAGAAGCGTTTTCTCGGGTAGAGATTAGTCGGGCGTTCTACATTTTTTGGTGACCTCGACGTGATCGAGGTTGAAGTTATCACAACAAGTGCGGATTCTTTGTGAAAGTTGAAGTGAAGTGTTGGTGGTTCGAGACTCAACCCTTAAGGAGCAGACGTTAATCCTGCACAGGACTGTTCGTGGAGCGGGTGGTTTGCTGGGAGGTCATCGTTCCTGCCAATTGAAGGAGATACTGAGTTTTTGCGGTGCTGTACCCGAAGTACAGCATCCTGAGGTCGTGTTGTTCCAAGAGGGAATAATTTTGAACAAGTATTGATTATTGTTGTTCTGTTGGGTCCCAGTCTTCTAGATCACCATGATGAAGGAGGACCAGGATGACCACTTGCAGAGGAGCGACAGGAACAGGAGACCGCCAGATCGCCTGGATCCGTGTTGGAAGTCGCCGACGCCTAGAAAGAAAAAGGAGGTGATGAAGGTGGGAGCGGAATCTGAACCGACTGATGCTCATCAAGATCAGCCGTCCAGCCCCAAGAAAGAAGGACCGTCATTTATGTCACGGCTACTCGGATTCGGTGGAAAAGAGAAGAGTCATCACACGGCGTCGACATCGAGTTCAGCGATGAAAAGAAGGAGTCAAGCTGAGGCTGCACATCAAGCCAAGATTGCATCAGTGCTCCAAGAAGTATCCGAACTTGAGGAAAAGTTGGAAGTGCACGAGTGTGAACTGCGTTCGGTGCGAGATGAAATTGAGAGGAAGAGCGCGATTATCAATCCGACTCATCCCAATTATAAGGCCGAGGAGGCTGAAAATGTGAAAAAGGAGATCATCATTCTCAACGAGGAGATGGTAGCCCTCAGAAACAAGAATGAAATGGAAAATATCCGGCTGAGAGGAAAGATTAAGAGATTGAAAATTCATTTGGAAACTTTGCAAGCAGAAAAGAAAGCAGTTCTGGCCGAGATTGATGATGATGAAGAGCAACGGTTGAGTAGTAGTAGTAGTGACGAGGGGGGTGACGTTGACCCTGACGAAACAGTGAGAAAATTTGAAGCATGGAAAGAAGGAGTTGCCGCAGCTGCGAAAGAAGAGATGGCCACATCAGCGCAAAGAAAGGAAGAAGCAGCTACGATGGACAATATCGCTCAGTCACTGCAAGCCTTGGTGAAGATTTCGAATAATCCTGCACCAAGGAGCGATATTCAAGAGAGAATGATGGTGCGGCAGTCAATTGGTCGTGACCTTCCTCTCTTCAGTGGACGACCGGAGGAGTGGCCCACCTTCGTCGCCACCTTCAAGCGAACCACAGAGTCATGTGGATTCACAGATGCAGAGAACATTGAAAGGATTAGAAAATGTGTGAGAGGAGAGGCGGCGAAAAGTGTCGAGTGTTTGTTAGTGTCTCCGAACTCGTTGCCGGAAGTGCTGCGAATTTTGGAAGAGAAGTTTGGCCAGCATGAAATAATAGTGAGAAGCATGATCGCGAAGGCAAGAGCATCGCCATCAGTGAAGGAAGGAAAGCCGCAGACCATGATTGACTTTGGAACGACAGTGGTCAATCTGGTGGCGACTATAAAGAATTTAGAAGAAATGGAACATTTGAGAAATCCGGTGCTCCTTCATGAATTGGTGGAGAAGCTGCCTGATAGTGACCGGAAGAATTGGGAAATGGAAGTTGTGAAAGCTGGACAGAGACCATCATTGGAGGACTTTAGTGAGTGGGTGAAAATGTGTGTGAAAATTGCCTGCAGGATGGTACCATTGAAGTCCGCCGACACGAAGAATGAAAATCAGCAGAAAGTCAAGAACAGTCATCAGGAGAGAGAAAGTGTCGCCACTGCTGCCGGCTTATTCAGCGGACAAGCTAGCAAATTGTGCTTGTTTTGTGGTAAGTCTAACCACTACAGCAGTGAGTGTTATCGGGCAGAAAATATGAATTTGGGAGAGAAGAAGGAACTGATAAGGAAGAATAAAGCTTGCTTCAAGTGCTTGCGACTTGGACATGCTGTGAAAGATTGTAAAGTGAAAGTGACGTGTGGAAAGTGTCGTGGACCCCACTGCAAGTCGATGTGTCCTGAGCTGTGGGCGAATCAGAGGGCAATTCAGGAGCAGCAGTCGACAGGGGGGCCAACCACCAACGCCCACAATTCAAATCATTCGTGCCGGAAGGATGTTCTCCTGAAAACTCTAGTGGTCCGCGTCGTTGGACCGACGTGTGGTGCGCCTTCTCTTTGACGAAGGAAGTCAAAAGAGCAACGGTCGGTCATCAACGCTGGAGGCAATTGGAAGTCGAGTCGTAGGGGAGGAATGGGCCCGAAATGTTTTGTTTGGCGGAACTGTGACCGAGCCGAAGAAAGTGAAAGAATGTATAGTGAGGGTGGAGAGTTTGGACGGTGCAGTGAAGAAAGAGTTGCATCTGAGAAAATCGGAAGTAATTTGTGGCAACATTCCACGCGTTCCAGCGGGGCCGTGGATGCAAGAATTGAGAAGAAAGAAAATTTGGTTAAGCGATTTTGAGCAAAGCAGAGTGGACAGCGAAGAAATTGAAGTGCTAGTAGGAAGTGACCACTGGGGGCAGCTTGTAGTAGGGAAACCAATCCCGCTTAATTGTGGACTATTTGCTGTCAAGACCGTGTTTGGATGGACCCTAAGCGGTCCAGTTCCTGGAAGGCGACAGGAAGGAGTAGCAATGGAATGTGCTTCTCTCCATGTTGGTGAAGCGAGTGTCTCGGACTTCTGGGATTTGGAAATCATCGGGATTAAAGATCCAGCCGATGTCAAGTCGCGAGAAGAAAAAGAAGAAGAAACAAGAGAGCATTTCAAGAAATCTGTGTCACGAGAAGAAGACGGCAGATATTATGTGAAGATGCCGTGGATTGGGGGAATAGCGCCAATAATTCCAAATAACAAGGCGGTGGCGTTGAAGAGATTGGAGTCGGCCACGGCGAAGTTAATGAAAACTGGGGACTACAAGAGTTACGACGAAATCTTCAACTCTTGGCTTCGAGAGGGCATTATAGAAGAAGTGAAAAGAGAAGATAATTATGCAGGGGTGCATTATCTGCCCCACCGCCCTGTCTTCAAGCCAGAGAGTGAGACAACGCCAGTGCGCCCAGTTTTCGACGCCTCGTGTAAAGTGGGTCGAGCTCCTTCTCTAAACGACTGCATGGAGAAGGGCCCCAATTTAATTGAGTTGATCCCGGCAATCTTGCTAAGATTCCGGGAGAAGAAGATTGGATTCGTGTCGGACATCCGAAAGGCGTTCCAGATGATTAGTGTGGATGCAGCCGACCGAGATTTCCTCCGCTTCTTATGGTGGGAGGACGAAGAAAAGAAGAAGTTGAAGGAGTTTCGACATTGTCGTGTGGTTTTCGGGGTAAATTGTAGCTTCTTCATCCTTGCTGCGGTGTTGCAGCATTTGTTGGATTCGGTTAAAGGGGATCGGAAGTCACTCGCAAGGAAGTTGATCTCCTCTCTCTATGTGGATAACTGTGTGGCGTCAGTGGACACAGTTGAAGAATATGAAGTATTCAAGAAACAGGCAACTGAGATTATGGCCAGCGCCAAGATGGAGTTACGACAGTGGGAGTGTAGTGCCGTGGGGGCTCCCGGAGTCGGCCGCCCTGCCATGAGGGGGTGCGGACTGGGGGACGATGGTGGCTGCACTCCACAGGATTCTAGAAATACTGCGACAACAATGGTGCTGGGCCTAGTATGGAATAGAGAGAGGGATAGCATTGGGTGCAACTTCGCGAAATTAGAAATAGCCGAGAAACTGACGAAGAGATGGATTCTGTCGTGCGTGCAGAAAATATATAACCCCATTGGATTCACTTGTCCGGCGACACTCAAGCCGAAGTTAATTCTCCAGAAGGCCTGGGCGGAGAAAATGGAATGGGACGCAGAGTTGCCAAGTGAAATTGTGGAAAATTTTATGAAGTGGTATGAGGAGTTGCACTACTTGGCGAAAATCGAGATACCACGTTGGATTATGGGGCAGCAGGTCAAGAAAGATGAAGATATGCAGCTTCACGTCTTCTGTGACGCGAGTCAAGACGCGTATGCTGCCGTGGTATTTTTGAGATCGGAAAATGAAGATGGAGCAGTGACCGTGCAACTTCTTCAGGCGAAATCCAGAGTGGCGCCGCTGAAGAAGTCGACAATACCGAGACTGGAGTTACTCGGGTGTGTCATTGCAGCTCGACTTTACTCATCAACAAAGAAAGCATTGGGCATGGGAGAAGTAGCCAGCTATTTCTGGACCGATTCAACGACCGCCCTGTCCTGGATAAAGAGGAATGATGACTGGGGGACGTTCGTTGGGAATCGCGTCAGAAATATTTTGGAGTTGACGGAAGCTGAAAATTGGAGACACGTTCCGGGGGTGCAAAATCCGGCGGACCTGCCGTCGCGTGGATGCGACTCTCGAGAACTTTTAGAGTCAAAATGGTGGGAGGGACCAATCTGGCTGAAGAGGCCGAAGGAAGATTGGCCCTCAGGAGACGCCATAGTAAACGAAGAAATGGTCAGAGAAGAAATGAAGAGAAGTGCCACGACCACATTGGTCAATATCGAGGAAAAGAAGACTCCCTGGTACGCGAGAGCATCATCCTCCTACCGGAAGAACGTCCGAAATGTGGCGTGGCTGAAAAGACTTGTCAAGCGGTACCGAGGAGAAGCAGTAGAAAATAAAGAGAGTGACTTGACAGTGTCAGAATTTGGAGATGCGGAGAGACATATTTTGAAGCTGGTGCAAATGGAGTCATTTGAAGATGGAGTTGGAGTGATCGCCGGTTTGGTGGTGGAGAAAGACACCGAAGGGATCATCCGTGTCAGCAGCAAGCTTCTCCACAGTGAACACGGGGTGGCATTCCGTCGACCCATTTTGCTACCAGCGTCT